AAAAATACACAGATGAAAGCTCTCTTTCTCCATTGAATCAGCTTGCACCACTTTTTGCAGGCAGAGCTGCACTCATTTTCTTGTGTCCCAGGTTGCTGGATGCTGATCTAAAGGCACAGAGCTCATGCTCATTTGGCAAGTCCTGCTGACAGCATAGCACAGGGGTAAAAAAGCAACAGGGCTTTCCGGTCAGGCCTTTGGTATATTCAGCTGCCTCTGGGCAGACAGAACCCAGGGCTGCGTGTGGAGACACTGTATCTAACAGAGCAGAATTCCACAGCTTTTCCAGAAGCCCTAAAAATGGCAATAACTCCAATTTGGAAGAGAAGGGAAGGTGAAGAAAAGCCTCTGTTAGAAGGATCTAGTGGGCAAAAGATACAGAGCTGGAGGGAAAAAGGCTCTTCAGCTTAATTTTGGGGGAACAAAAAATAGCTGCTCTGCTCAAGGTCATTAGAGCCAAGTTCCAAGTCTGGATGTCCCACAGTCTAGCCCAGAGCCTGAACTATCTGCCTGCTTTTCCTTTCTATGCTTGGCCTTGCAGTCACTGCATCTCTTATAAGCCAAGACACTTCAGAGATTTTATTCTCCTTAGAAATACTATAATAGTCCTTTTGCATTTTTATCAGAGTTATTAGCATGAAAAAAAATGCTAGGAGAATATAGACTTTATCTACTAAAGCTGTTTGTCATATTCATTGCTGCCTGTGTGAGTATTAGCATGAAGGAAAACAGATAAAGCACAAAAGGAAAGCCTGGATACTCTTGGAAACTCATTAGTGAGGGAAGTCTCAGTGCAAAACATAATGAAACCTTCATCCACCACCTCTGCAAAAGATGGGTGCTCATGCTTAGAGTTTTTTCCTGATTAATTAGTTTCCTGTGGAAAAATCATGGTAGTCATCATTTGATCCACTTGTGTCATGACACCTTTTTCATGCTTCCTGCTCTCCTTCAACAGCTGTGAATAGTGTTGGTCTAAGCCCTGAGCAAACTATAGAAATTTCTGTCTCTTTCTGGGCAACGAAGGTGTTAGGAATATTCAAGAGTTATACGAAAGTCTAAGAATAGCTATCAGCAGTCAAAACAAAGGTGCAGTGAGCTCCTGGCCCATCTGCCTCAGTTCTCCTCATGGGAGACCTCTCAGACCTGTCCTGTCACCAATTACATTTTGCAGAGCTCCACTGACATCCTGGAGAAGAAAATGTCTTTGTACTCACTAGAGGCTTACAGATGTCTCTCTCTAATTAACTCATATGCACTGTTTCAAACACAAAACTTTAACATCCAGAACAGTCTGCAAAGAGGTGTTTCTATCCCTGCTGGATGAAAAGCAACTTCATTTTGTTAATTTTAAACTTGCTAGAAAGGTAGCTTGGTTTGCCTTCCCTTCAGTTTTATAAAAGAAGAAAGGGTGAAAATTTCCCACTAACATCTCCATACCACTCAAAGTTTGACAGATTTGTGTCTTACTCCCCCTAAAGTCATCACATTTCCAAGCACCTTCCTGCCTGCAGAACCTTTTCAGTGCTCTTGGCCTTTGGGATGCTGGAAGGGTGTCTCAGCACCACTGCATATTGCTCAGTCCTTTGCAAGACAAAGGCAGAAGTTTTTGAGAGCCTCCCAGTTAAATTTTGCATGGAGGCATTGGGAGGGCTGGCTCATGATGTGGATGGCTGTGCCCCAGGAATGCAGACCTCATGCTCTACAGAACCTCCCTTGTCAGACATGAATTCTCTGACTTTGATCGAGTTACTGAAACCCCCTTTTGCTTGAATGGTCCTCAGAAATGCTCTCCAGCTGCTCCTCCTGCCCCTGCTCCTCTTGAATCAATAGGGATTTGAGATGTGAGGTATAACCCTTCCAGAATCAGCCCTTCTGGTTTAGCAGATAGCCACTAGAATAACCTCCAGAATAAAGCTAAAGCATTCCTTTTCATGGTGATGAGGCTACAGAATTGGATATTTGTCCACATATGTCCAACAACAGAAGCATTTGCAAAAGTGAATGAACACACAGTAAAGGGACACAGATTTATGAGCAGAAATATGACAGACTACATCTAAGGTGAAAGGGATTAAGAACTCCAAGGGCTGAAAGATGACAGTAAACAATGGATATTTAAGATCCAACACAGAGCAGCAATAGGTGATTCCCACCTCTCCAGGAAATCCACTTGAGAGTGGTTTACATGGGCACCTGTAGATGCATTATGGTATATTTTTTTATATCTGTGTACAATAACTTGGCTGCATATGCATGTTTCTGTACAAAAAAAAAAAAGCATCCTCTATCATTCTGAGCTATTTAGGCCTGGCAGAACATGCCAAGCTGCTGCTTGAACCATGAGTTTCCTGGGTACAAAAGTTACACAAGTCCTCATGTCAACATGAATTAGGTTTCAGCCACATTATCTGCTATTATCTCGGGGTTTGCCACTAATGATGTGCTCAACATGTTACATATACTAATACAAGCATCCTTTTGGCTTTTACTTGGTGATATAACTAAGGTGATGACCTGGAGAAGCAAGGCCAGTACCTCTCCTGTCCTTCTGGAAAAGCACAGGATTTTCCCTCTGACAAATGCCTCAGACCTCACATAAATGCCATACAAATAGTACTTGGCTACAGCATGGTCTGACAGGTGTTTGGCACTGGCACAGCTGGAGAGCAAGTCTGTAATAAGGGAGTGATTTTAATCTTGTCATCTCGGTCTTTTCAAAGGTGAGACCACTTTGTTCCATCAATATTTAGGATGTGAGCCTCATCCTTTTAAAGCATCCCTCAGCACATGCATGGCAACAACCACACAGATTGCAGCTGTTAGCAAAGTCCAGCATCTCTGATCCAGCTTTCCAGCACTGGCTCATACCCATATAAATCAAGGAAACAAAGCTGTCACAGCCAAAGTGAGAAAGAAACATAAATTCCTGCTCGTGCAGCCATTGTGGAGCACCAGGCAAACAAAGGAAACACCTGAATCCTCTCCTTCCAGGTGTTCTCCTCTCTGGGAAGGTTTTAATTTCATAGGTTATTCTACTTTGATGGTAACTGGCATTGCAGGCACTTGCAGCCCTGCTCCCTGTGGTTCTGGCTATTTCTTGGGCACTGGAACAGACTGTACAGGGACATGGTCACAGCACCAAGCCTGTCAGAGCTCAAGAAGCATCTGGATTGTGCTCTTAGTTACATAGTTTAGTTTTAGTCCTGGAAGGAGCAGGGAGTTGAATTAGATAATCCATATGGATTCCTTCCAACCTGAGATAGTCCATGATTTTATGATTCTATATCCTGAGGCTCTCTTTAATCAAGCCAGCAGCATACAGCTGATAAATCTTTGCCCTGCACCAGGAACAGCAGACACTGAGCCATTGGGTTACATGGGGCACAAACACCCTGAGTCCCATAAACCCTCCCTGAACAGATGAGAACAAGCTGCCTCAGCTGGCAGAGGTACCAAATAAGCACAACAAGCTGACCATAAACTCAGCATCCTCCAAAGCCTACACATTTCTTTGGGCACTCAATGCTGTTTGGCTACTCCAGCTGAAGTTCTGCTCATACTGTGACATCTCTCTATTTTTCCCCCTCCAGACCTGCAAACCTATTTGTCTATGCATGAAAATAGTACAGAGATAAATATATTTTCTGACATTTTTCTGTAGAGTTCAAAACAGAAGAAAACAAGAACTTGCTTCAACTACAGCACAACTAATACCATAAACATTATGTTTCCCACCACACTGCTGGCTCTCACCACCTGACAAACATGAGCTGGTTTCCAAAGGTTGAATCCTGAGTCTCAAAGGCTAAATTGTGTCTGTCAGTGGGAGGACTGCAGGAAAATGAATGCAGAGATGTGGTTTTTATGGCCCCCATGTTTCTAGCCTGGCTCAATAAAATTTCCTGCCATGAGCAACTGGCATTTCGATTGTAATTTCACATGATGAATTACCACTATATACAATCAATATATCATAACCATAGAAAGAGCAAATGCGAAGCTGCAATGGGCATAAATGCCATGTTCTCTCTAGTGCAGCATTCTTCCTTTCCAATCACAATCCAATAGTTTGAAATTCTCTGAGCAATTGAGTAGCCACAGATTCCCTGAAAAACATCTCAACAGATTCCTAATCTCATTTTCAACACAAACCTTGACTTCTTCCTTAATATGTTCATCTCCTATCCTGTCAATCTTTTCCCATTGTTCCTTGCAACTTGAAATTTCCCTTTGATCATAAGGAAAACACCCTCAACCAGGTGTGATACAGAGCTACAGACAGAAAGAGCTCATTCTCTTCTGAAGTCTAGGCATTGAGACTTTTTTTTTTTTTTTTGTGTGTGTGCAGAATGGAAAGATTTTAGCCAATATTGCCTTGAAATCACCATCTTTTTAAAATGCAAATTAATCCAGTCCTGCTATTGTTTCCCACTGTTGATCACCAATGAAAGAGTTTTCCAAGATAGATAATACAGAAATTTTCAGCTGTTATTCCGTATCCTCAGTTTTAACATCCAGGTCTTATTACTCTGTCCTGCCTAATATTAGAAGTAAAAAAAGATTCCAGCTTTTTTTCATTCAGTTCATTAATGAACAGATCCAATTGGAAGAAAGACTATGACAGACTTCTCATAAGCCAAATTTAATCCTGCTGAAAAATTCAATAAACTCAAAATTATGCTTTCTTTCTGTTTTTCATCCTTCCAGCCAATTTCTTTTGTGCATTATCCTCCACGAACTCACTGCTGCTTATACAAAGGAAAGATTATGATTTGAATTTGATCAGATTTTCCATGCTCAATGCAAAAAGAAACTCAAACAACATGAAGGGGAGAAAGCAATGAACACTCTAAATCTTGTCTGCAGAAGGAGACATAAAGGTTCCCTACAAAGATCCAACATCTTTTGTATCCTATACACTCCAAAAGCAACCTCTGAACTACATCAGGCAACAGCAAGCAATTAATTTGTTGGGCCAGTGAAGGATTAGATCTTACCTTTTCTCCTTTCTCTCCTATGCCATAGGCTTTGCCCTAGAAATGAAAAAAAAAAAAAAAGAGCTAAAAATGTAAATTTGAGAACAAGGGCATCAAACAACACTACAGATACATATTTCATATTCTCCTTGTTATGCATCCCAGATCTATCTCTCTTTATATATAGATATATAAGTCACTTCAAAACTACTATAGGGAAAGCAATTTTCTTTGGGCATAATAATTCAGTGACAAATTAAACTAAAAACTTATCCCAAATTCTCCTACTGCAGCCAGAAAAACATCTTATTTTTTATTCATGGAAGAGCATGATGTTACATTTCCAAATGTGAAGTTGCCAACAACTTTTACTGGAATGAATTTTACATAGGGTTAAAGATTTTTTTGACTAAAATCTCAGCCTGGCATTTGCATTAATTACAGCTGGGGGAGGCTGTGTCTTGGTCATCTGAATGTAAAAAGTCAAGAGAGATTTGCATCTTCTTTGTGCTCAGTTGACTCATATTGTCCCCCAGCAGACGTGCAGCTGTGGTAATCAAGTGCATCCAAGTTCCATATTTAATTGGAAGGTCAATATTAAGTCAGTTATCAGCTGTACCCAGGGATGAAACCTCCATCTGCCCCTCTCCAAGAGAGGCCAGTGAGTGCCAGGGAGATCAGGCTCCTCCTGGGATTGGGCACACAATGCTGTGAACAGGTTCTCACCATGAAGGAGAAAACAACTGCTCACATTTTCATCTCCTTTAGCAAAATCATTGGGTATTTCTTACTTACTGACTCTCCTTTTTCTCCTCGGAGTCCAGGAAGCCCTGGGATGCCTCTTTCTCCCTTGAAACAGAAAATTTGTTAATATCACATAGTCAATTCATTTCTTTTTTAGACATAGAAGGAAAGTGATGCAACAAGGGTTTGACTGAAATAATGGAAATTTTTGGTCCCACCAGTCTCTACAGCCAAGATTTCAGCTCCTGTCCTAAGGACTGGGTGTACCTAATTGCATGTCTTGTAAACATCCAAGTTTTCAGATTTATTTTCCCTTTTGTCTTTCATATGAAAATACTGGTAGAAGCCTTTGGAGTGCACTGGCAAGGCAGAGAGTTTTCTCCTGTGAAGTACTTCAAATGCCCTTATTTTTTATTAAGAGAGGAAATATTTGCAAAGGTGCTTTGCAGAAGACCTTGAAAGTACATGCCAAAAATGTGCAAAAAATAACCTGAAAATATTGTTCAGATTTTAGAGATTTTTTTTTATTTGTAATCCAAACCCCTTGTTTTCAGTCTAAATTTTCACTAAATTTTCAGAATCTGCTAGCCTTTCTCTTCCCCCCCCAAGTGTGCAACACACACAGTCATTGTTCTTGCTTGTTCCAATGGGAGAGAGGGAAAGTAACATAGAAAAGAAACAATTTGAAAGATACAACTTATGATGGTTGGAAAAGTTATAACTGGAGAAGGACATACACAGGGAGGAAAAGAGAAAAATGGTCAATCAAAAACCAAGCAAAACTTTTTCTTCAGTTTTCTCCTAAAAAGGACAGGAGTAAAAGGGACAAAGAATCAAAGAAGGTCCAAAATTTCATAAATATTTATTGGATACAGAACTTAAAGTGGTGCCAAACTCAGCAAGTGCAGAAAAAATCCCCATAAATCATCTTCACACACTGCTCTGCACTCTCAAAACTAGAGGAAGGAGACTAGTGGGGGGATATATCCACTACTTGGACTAGTTTAAGGCTATGTGCTGTGCTGCCACCAGTTCCTTCAATTCCTGCAGCACTGGGAGCTGCTGGGGAGCAGAAGGCTCTGCCCAGCTCCTTCCCAATTCTCACCCAAAATGTACAAACCAGAAATGTGCTGTGCTGAGCACCCCATCTCTCACTTAAAAATGCAATGTGCTCACCTATTTGTGCACTGTGACTTCAGTACAGACTTAAAATCAAGCTGGAAAAGTCTCAGACCTGGAGCAGGACCCTCCAGAACCAGAGCATCAATAAGTCTGATGGCCCCTGCTCTCCCCATATCTCCCCACAGGGACCACAGCAGGGTTTAATTTTGTGTCTCTATCAAATTTATCCTGATCTGTGCCCCCTCAAAAAAAATCTGCTTAGCAACAACAGGAACTGAAAACTTTTGCCAGGATCATCCTTTCTTTTCCCTAGGTGAAAAAATGCTTTTGAAAGCACAGGAAATATGAAAGTTTCTTTCTTTAGCCTTTCTGCTTTGTTTTTTTGCTGAAAGAAAGAAAACTCAGAGAGCAAGTAGCACATACACAAAACTATGTCATTGTCAATTAAGAAGGCTGTGGTAAAATTCACAAAAATTTTTATGTGACCATCTCTTTCAAGTCACTTTCTAATTTGGAGGAAAAGATACATCCTGCTAGAGCTTGTCTAAATAAACTGGAATTCACAAACTTCACAATGGTAGGTAAGACTTGTAATTTCTTTGTGGATAAAAGCACCTCTCACAGAGCAAGGCTTTGTCTACTCTTGGATCAATAGCAGTGCTGGAAGAGAGAAGCAGCCTGTTGATCATCAGCCCAGTGCCCCAAGCAGCCATCCTGGCTGCCTGCAAACAACACAGCCTGCAGAGGGACTGTGGAAGGAAAATAAATCAGACTGGGTTGTCATTAGCATCTAAAATTTATCAACAGGACCCAGCCTCAGACATATGAGCCAGTTCTGCCACAGCTATTTCCTGCCTAGCTATTTCCCAACACAGTTCTTTACCATACCTCATTCCAAAACACATCAGCTGTGTCTCCATGCATTACCCTCACTTTGGCAGTGTGGGTCATTGAGGCAGAGGTGTTTATCTCCCAGAAATATTTTCCATTTTTTTTGATAACTGCAAGCTCTCCTGTTTCTCCCAGCCTTTGAAAGCTTAGAGAAGATCAGAATCACATTATCTTCATCTTTCTCTAATAAATACCAGGTGGTAATGTTGGCAAGCTGCAAATAAGCATTGAATTCCTTGCCAAGGGAAGGATTTTAGCCCAGGTAGCTCAGTAATGTTGCAGAGAGAGAGGAGGAGAGCTAAAATTTATTTTTGAACATGGAGCAAGGACTGTAACAAGCTGGTCCTTGCCAATAACAATGTAAGAGTGGTATTTGTTATTGAATCTCAACATCTTTGAAGATGGGAGATAAACATACAACTTGCCTTATTTAGCAGATAGAGAAGCTAAATAATTTGTCTCAAATCATCATATTTACAGTAAATTGTTGTCAGATCCTATATTTAAATGGCATCATCCCCAGGTCCTTGAGACTGTGACACAGTCCTTCCTTGTCTGTGTACAAGTCTCAGACCACTAGAGCCAGGGAAAAGTCACTCGCATCTGCAGGAGTGGAACAGTCCTTTTGGGGTCTGTTCCAGAAAACCCCTGATGCTGTTCTTGTAGACACACTCCTCTGTATCCCACCAGTGTGTCCTGCACCCAGTACTGACCCATGTGAGACACTGAGGCACCCTCAGCAGCACACAGGCCTTAGCAAAGCAGGGGAAGACAATGGGATCTTGCTGCAGGGCCCTTTTGTCATTATCACCATTGTCTTTTCTGCAACTTCCTCACAATAGCCATGGCTTTGCGGTTCCTTAAAATAGCCCATCACTATTGAAGCTGTCATGGATTAAAATAGAAAGCTCCTATATATCTTTGCATGGAGGCATAAGGAGCTTTTGTCTGCGCATTTGAGCAGTAATGAGCCCATGTTCTTTCATCCCAGCCTCCAAAAGGCATATTCCTATCTCCAAAACCTCTCTGCAGACACCAGACCAAGCTTTGCCAAAAGACAGCACATCTCTGAAGATGTTTGACCTTCCAAAACCCAGAGATTATTTCCTTCCCCTCCCACAGTCTTTCATAATAACTGAGTGACTTTTGGTGGGATGCAACTCAGTTATTCACCAAACAGGTATAAATTCAGTGACTCCATTTGCAGAAGCAATTCAGATGGAAATAGTTTTGAATATAACTTTTCCCCTAAAAATCTTTTCACAGAGAGTAAAACTGGGAGCCACCAACACCACCAACTTTCACCTCTCCAGCCATGTTGTGACTCTGTTTTCTTCCTGTACAAGTCCTTCCTTTGAGTCTATTGCCTCATGGTTCTCTCTGTAACCAGGCACAGAAGGAAAATGTGTTTGTGTTGAATGCACACATGTGTATACCAGAGAGGCCTGCAGAACAGGCAGGGGAATACAAAGGCTGCACTGTGAAACTTGAAGCAGACATCACAACCACTCTCCTACCCTTTTATCTAGGAAGAAGAGTACTGGGGGAAGTGGCCTATATTTAACATCATGACTCAGGCAGTCTTGCTAAGGATAAAAGATTGAGACTGATCCTTTACCCTTAGTCTCAAGAAACTTTCTGAAGTGTGACTGGAAGGCTGCTACCTCAACTATGCACGTGTATCACTGTGAGAAAGGCACAGCATGGCAGCAGCACCTCTGTTTCAGGTGACCTGCCATGGAAGCTGTGCATGACCTAGTGAATAACAGTAACGTGCAAAAATGCCAGTTTAGAAGCTACAGGAAAGGATTTTGCAACACATTTACTCTAAGAATGACGTAAAGCAGCAAAAGAGAAGCCTAAATGCGAGTATAAAATAAAGATAAAATTTCACAAAAAACTTCTGCAGTCCCAGGCTCATCCAAAACTGTCTGAACTTAATTATATACTAAATTAACTCTCATTTCTCAAAGTCTTCAAATCCTCTATTTACTCTGAAATTGTTTAGCTGTTGCTGTTTTTATTAACCAAATGAACTAGGACGTATTACTGACCTTTTGACCCTTGGGACCTTCAAAGCCAAGTGGACCCCTCTCCCCCTAAGATAAAAAAACATGATTAATCAAACTTATCTTCTCATTTTATATTCAAGCAAGGGGCCTGATCGTAGGAGGACAGGAGGACAACAAAAATGTTTTCAGGTTTAAGCAGAGAACATAATAAAGCTGACATGCCCTCAGGAGCAATGACAATGAAGCTGGTTTCTCAGAGGTCCCAGTCAGACCCAGAGACAGCAAGCACATTCCTTTTAAAAGCCATGAGGTTTTTTTCAATGTGGCCACATTTACCTTCATAATCTGTTTAATTTTATTTGAAGAAGGATCAAATAACTGAACTAGATAAGAATAATCACTTTGTTTTCAATGTTGCAACCAGGACTACCAGCATGACCAGAATCACTGAATTAGTCAAAGAGAAAACACCAGGGAAACTTCCTTTACCTCTATAGACATCCCAAATGAAACACTCTCATCTCAGCACTCACCTTTTGTCCAGGAGGACAGGAGCAGTTGAAAATCTTGAGATGTCCAACTTGCTCACTGCCAACAGTGGGCCTCACTTCCAGGGGAGGTGCTTCCGTCAGGACCGTGACCTGGCACTGCACCCAGACACCCAAGATCAGGACAAAGCCTTAAATGCTGCAAAGCTTCCCCTTCCACCCACTTTAGACAAATCCCACAGGCACCACTGTAACACACAGCCAAATGTGTCCTCATGAGGAATGAAATCCCACAAAAGCCATTCATCGAAGCAAAAGAGGAAAATGTGGCAAAATGAACAATGAACCTCTTTAACCAAGATTGAGGGGAGAAGAGTGAAAGGAGGGTGGAGGTTTCTAGTGAGAGTTGGGCACAGGAAAATAAACTGCAACTGGCACTGTTTTTAGCTGTTTCCAAATAAAGCCAGTGGGAAACATGTTGAATATTTCATGCTGCATTTCTGTTGTTCTATCATCACTTTGGGGTTTTGTTTCCCCTGACAGTTTGACAAAGAAAGAGGAACTTGGAAACTTCAAATTCCTCATACTCATCCCTCTGCAGTGGCCCTCCTCTGAGCTGCTACACTGCCAATTACACAGTTAGGTTTCAATCACCCTTATTAAACAAAAATTATAATCCCACACTGCCACATATTCCCTGGTTTATATAATAGATTTCAGTGGAAAGTGTTCATGTGAAAACGAATAAATGACAAAAAGGAGCTTACTGGTCCAGAGGGAATGTCGCAGCAGGTCTCCAGCTCGGCGTGCCTGGAGTCACAGTAAATCACCATCCTCTGAAGATCAAACTGGGAGACAAAGGGAGGCAGCATCTCAGACACAGTGAATTATTAAAGACCCTGTGTCCTTTTGCTTGGACATAAACAGAGCAGGCAAACACAAACAAAAAACAGATGGTGCAAACTTCAGAGCGGTTCTGTGGATCCTGTAGTCAATCTCTATCTCTCCCTATCAATAATAGACCAATACCTCAGCATGCTACAGGAGCTGAGATAATAAGACTTTGAAAATGTCTATTCAAATTCTGGTCCAGGTTTTTGTGCAAATCCCCATGTTCTGGCCAAACTTCTGTCTGAGAAGACATATCCTGGCCACGTCTATCCTTCCTAGAATTTCATCTAGACACAAAGCCTATTTTCCTCCTGTTGTGCCTTGCATCTTCTGACCATTTATTCCTGCGTGAGAAATGCTATGAACACATTTGATATGCACGTTCCATCCATTTTGCACAGCCAAGAAAGATTATACAAGTCTGAAATACCAAACTATCACACATAAATTATACCAGGGTAACACTGCTGCTGGACAATCAGCTGTGTGTCTTGACTTTGGTTCGTTTGTACTAGGGGTCATTTAATATCTGAGGAATGGAGAATATATCACAACTCTTTTGAGTTAACAAGTTTTCTTTTTCCCTCCAACTCTTTTTATCACCTGTGGAAACATTCATAATGCCAAGATCAGATGAAGACTTTTCTGTGTTCGTCAGTACCCAGTTTGATGATATTTGTGTACAATTTTGGTTTTGCTTCTAACTGTAGCACATTCTGTGACTAGACAGAAATACGAAATAAATTTCTCATTTTTAATCCCTATTTTGGAGATATAGTATCACATAAAAATACAGCAAATCCTGTGCATCATAAGGTGCCAATCTGTCTTAGCTATGTAACACTGGTCCCATTTCAGCATGCTGCCTCAGGAAAAGGCTCAATTACAACACAACCTCCCTCATTCACAGGCTGCAAACCCAAAGCTGAGCCTTCACCCAGCTCTAACCAGCAAGCACAGTACTTACATCAATGGGGACACTGTCATACAAGCGTTTGCCAATCACAGTCTTCCCTTGAATGTCAATGTTCTCCCTGTCCTCAATGGGCAGCACCTGCACCAGCTTGCAGTCTATGTACAGGGAGACAGCCTTGGCCTGGATGCTGAGGGCGATTTTGTGCCAGCCGCGGTCGAACAGGTCGCTGACGCGCGCGTTGCGGAACACCACCCTGACGGCGTCCCTGGTGAGCCCCACGGCGTTGTACTCCAAAGCCTTGTTCTCCCCATCCAGCCTGATGGACACCTGCAAGCAAACAGGGGGGGTCTGCTGAGAAAAAAAGCCTCCTCCTTCCTCCTGACTGCCTTCCATCAGCACCCACAGCCCCAAGCCAGGGTGGCACCGGCTGTGGTGAGACAGCACAGAGCAGAGGATGGAATTGTGTGGGGGATATGGAAAAGGAGCCTACTTGGGCTCAGTGAATAATTGCTCTCATTTACTTGGGCTGGTAAATAAGATGGGGTTCCACAAGCTTTGGGGTAGACCCACAACTATAGGAATGTGCCCTCTGTTGATGAAGTGACAAAACAATCTTTTGTCCCCCTATGAGCTTAGAAGTTTCTCTCCTCGATTAAGTGAAAAGTCTCATAAGACCTAGGAGACTTCCCCTCAAACTTAAGGATAGCTAACTGGATAAGAGCCAAAAAGTCCCATTTGGGCAATTTACTAGAAAAATAAGAGAACAAAGAAACTAATTGCTTTTGTGGGGTGTTTTACTAGGGGCAGGAGGGCCTCTTGCACTTAAATCGGTTTTTCTCTATAAAGAGTTTGTTATTTTGCCTTTTATTAAAATCTTTTTTTTCCCAACACTGCCACAAAAGCCATCTTGCTGATTTTATGCCTTCTAAGGTAGCTGAGCTATCTTGGGTGTGAAATAGATCTCCAAGAGCTTATGAGATCTGGCTATTTTCTTATGAGACTCCTATTTCACACCAGCAGCTAAAGGCTCCTCGTGTGAGTACAACCCTTGGCATGGTTTCAGCACAGGCTGCCTTGCTGCCATGGCTGGGTGGTGGTACAGGTCATGGGCACCTCCCCAAAGGCATTTCCCCAAAGCTGAACCTGGTTTGGATCCCTCTACCCCATGTTCTCCTCCACTGCCTCCCAGCAGGCTTTTTACTCCCATCACATGTCCTCAGGTGTCCCATGGGATATGGAAAAATACCTCATATGAAACCAGTGAAAGCAGTCTGCTGAGCTATGGCACTGCCCACACTTTTATTTCAGGTGCTTTGAACAGAAAACCACACCCCATCCTCTGTACTGCAAGCTACAGAGCAGGCAAAAATAGGGTTTTTAAGACATGCAACTTTGAGTTAATTTACAAATTGATGTCTTCTTTTACCAAAGCCAGGCAGTTACCAGCCAGCAGCAGGGATTGGAGCAGGCAGAGCCAGGAATGGTGTGTCCATGAGCTGCAGGGCCACCTTGGCCCTGAGCTGTGAGTGATGTGAGCAGCCCAGGGTAGGCTGAGTCCACCTCTGACCCAACTCTCCCTGCAGCTGAGCACTGTGCTGGCTGGGAATGCCAGTTTGGATCAAAGTTGGCTCAGGAGTGTCTGCATCTGTGAGCTGTGCAGGTCTGCAAGGGAGCAGCCAAACCTCAACCAACTCTACATGAAATGAGGCTCATGGGGCTCTAAGGCACTTCTGGCACCATAATTTTTAAGGCACTTTTGAAATTATTGCTGGAAATATTGAGTGTTTTTCTCTCTCCACACCTAAGCAGTTCAAGTTTTTAACTTCCTGCAAGAAATACCTGCAAGTGATAATTCTCACTCTGCAGCAGCTAGGAATGTATGTGGCACAGTAAATCACATTTCATTTAATGAAGCTTCAGCTGATAATAACTTTCATATACACCTTTTACCACAGTCTCAAATCCAGTTATCTAATTCTTCAAACTGCACCTATTCTTCACTGATAGTTCCCAAAATCCTTTTAAATACCAGTCCCAAAGCAGCAATACTGAATTACAGAGCTATGTGAACCCATGCTGACAGCCCACTTTAGAGTCCTGGGTAATGCCATCACCACTATATTTGGTGCTGAGCAGAAAAATGTAAAACCCAAATCACTCCCTCCTCAAGCACCCTCAAAACCCTAAACTCTACCAAGTTGCTAGAAACATGTTGTGTAGGGACAGACAGCCCTTTAGTGCATACTTACAATATTTTTTTTTTTCTGAGAACCTGAGAGTACTTGAAAGAAAATTATTTGATCAAATTGTGCAGCAGCCAGGACTCAGAGTTTTGGAACTATAACAGATGTCACACCCACACCCAGAGCAGGAGCCCATAATGCATTTACAAGTCACCTAGAAGGCTGTGCAAAACCTGACATAACTCACTGCTCTGTAGTACATCCATGTGACAACCTTTTTCCAAAAAGGCAAAATATTTTCCCTAAGCACAACTATCTGAACAAAACAACTGAAAACTCAACAGGAGTTTCAAGAGTAAGGATGGTATTTTTTTGTCCCCCTCTCCAACTAACACATTCATCTGCATCCTAATAACAACCAAGCTATATACAAACATTTATGTGGGGTTTGAATTAAAGGTAAAATATTTGCAGCAAAATCTACTGAAAAAGTAACAGAATTTTAGAATTTTTACCAGTTCACAAGAAAAAGGAGTGGGAGGTTAAGGCAAGAAAACTGGCTCATGATAAAAAAAAAAAAAAAAAAAAAAAAAAAAAAAAAAAAAAAAAAAAAAGGCTGTTCCTGCTGGCTGTAAAAGAGCCTCTTACCTGTGGTATGCCATACTTGTCAATAATCTGCCAGATATACCAGTCTTCCTTCCTGGAAGCCTTCCGGAATTTGAAGGTTGTTACAAAAGCATATTCATCAGGCAGGCCTTGTGGAAATACATCCCTGGCACGGGGAGGGGAAAGAGAGCAATGTATCAGGCTTAGCAGTGAAGAGCAGAACTTCTAAAACTCTCTCCATATCCCAGCAATGCTTTCTAAAAGCATCATTGTGGTTCCTAAAAAATCTGCTGTATTTGGAAGCCTGAAGAGAGATGAACATGAGCTGGTGCCCTCCAGGTTCTGTCTCTGTGGAGCCCTTTCATCATTCCAATAGTGAAGCTCTCAAATTGGCTAAAATATAATGGAAATATGCAGTTGAGTATCCATCATGTTAAAAAGGTTGTTTTTCACTTCATGCTTCTGTTCATGAAACCTGTTAATAATTCTGTTCTGTTCCAGATGCACTGGAGACCTGTGACTTCTGAGAATGGCCAGGAACACCCAAAACCCTGTAAATGTACCAAACTATAGCAACAAATATTATAATGTCTGCCCAAAACAGGCACGACAGCTCATGTCTTTGTTCCTTAGCTGGCAGCCCTGGATAGCAGAAGTTTCTCAAATCAAACATTGCAAACATATCAGGCAGAGATTTACCCAGTGTGATACCACAACCCCTGCACATAAGCAAACACATAAAGTAAGCGAAAATCCAATACTGGTTTTCTCTACTCCATCATAAAAACCTATCATAACATGGGGATGCAGAAGGAATAACTAATCCAGTATCACTTTTTTTTTTTTTTTTTTTGTTACTAGCCATTACTGGCTGCCTAAGAATGAGAATGAAAAAACATCTCTCTTGTACCCTCCAGATCTTTGGAATCCAGATGCCTAATTCAGACACAAATGCAATTTCTATATCAATAGTTTTTTATTGATTTATCTCATATAAACTTCTGCATCCTCCCCTTGAACTCAGGTAAACTTACAACACTCACAACATCCCTTTGACAAGGAATCACCCACTGCTGCCCATTGCATAATGAGCCTCCTACTCTTTGTTAGGACCTAAGTCAGTTCTTATCAGGGAAAACACAATGAACCTATTCTTTTTCTGTCTTTTATGCCATCCATGATTTTTCAAACTTTGCTTGCTATGCCTCTAAGCCATCTCTTTTCCCACCTGAAGAATACAGTTAACATTGTTCTTTATGCCCAAGCCAGCCTGCTCCTATAATCATTCCCAAATAAACTTTTCATAAATATCAGAACATCTGAGCAGTCAGGCATAAGCACTCAATACAAAACAAAACATAATGGCAGCAATTAATGAAGAACAAACTATGGAACATGGTCCTAATGAATAGTTAACATAATCCATCACTATGCAAAAACTGGCACAGTCCAAGGCACATAAAACTAGAAGCCTTTAATTGTATTAAAAGCAAAAAGTCCTCTAAATTTCCAGAACACTGTTTTGCAGTTGCAGCAAATGTTGAGATCCAGTCTTTCCTAATGCCAAAATACCTGATCATATTTTATTCTGTGCTTTGAATCTCCCATCTTTTCAGCCAAGTTATAAATTCAGAACACTCTGGTTTCATCCACTATTGTGGCTTTTGCTGTATAAAGTGCCCCTGCAGGATATGCACCATTATAAGTTGGTTTTCCCTCTAGGGAGACAGAGACTTTCTGAATTCTTTCAACGCAAAAGGAAACTGAACCAGGCTCCCACTAGCTCCCTTAGGAAATCTTTCCTTTGGGAGAGCAGACAAGGCTCTCTCACTTCCTGGAACTAGTTTTTTAACCAGGGAAGTCCCATTTGCCTGGAAGTTAACAAATCTACAAGAAGGGCCAGCAAGAGCACGTGGAAGTGAACAGAAGCAGGATCTAGAAGGAGGGTTGCCTTAAACTAGATATTAGGAAAAAAATCTTCTACTGTAAAGGTGGTCAAGCACTGGAACAGGGAAGTGGTGGATTTGCCATCCATGGAAATATTCATAGAAAAGGGTGAATATGGCATTTGGGGACATGGTTTAGTGGTGAACATGGAAGTGTAGCATAACAGTTAGACTCAGTGATCTTATAGGGCTTTTTCAGACTTAACAATTTTATGGTTCTGGACAGCTCTGTGCTGGGAACATGAATATCATTATGCAAGCTTAATTTCAAAAAGGGTTTTCAGATGTTTAATACCCAGAGAAATAACTGGGAGTTAGGTACCTAAACATCCCAGTGAGTCTGGCCACACCTCATCACACAAGGCTGACAAACAGCTCATCAGGTAGATTTAAACTGACAGAAAGCCATAATGACCCATTACCTGCCATCCTCAACTGATTTTCAAAGATGCCGAGGAACCAGCTGCAAGTTCCCGACAGAGAAAGGTTTCATGCCAAAAGCAAATCTGAAGACACTCTCATTGCTTTGAAAATGTGATAAAAGCTGTTTCTGAAGTCATTGGTCCCTGTATCTTTTACAGAGCTGCATTGCTACATAAATAACAAAAACTTTGTTTAGCAGTTTTAACTTATTTCCTCACTTGAAAATTATCTGCATCTACAAGTTCAGCTTTACTTGGGGATCCAAGAGCAGGAGCTGCAGTCCCCAGAAATGTTTTATGTTCTTCTTTCACACAAGGCTGAATTGAACTGATGATCAATATTGTGGAACTCTGCTGGATGCCTGGTACCTACAGGGAGCATTCTGCCAGCTCCTTGGTCTATAATTCTGACAACAGGATAGATTGCAGAAAAGGCCCTTATAAAACTCCAAGACAAAAGAATCCCCCAGTGCTGCAGGTTAGTCCAAGAGTCAATTAACTCAACTACAAGGTCAGGCAAATCACAACTTTTACAAGAAAAAAAATATTAGTAAGAAGGCAGAAAATTCTTTTAACCATTGCTGGTTTTCAATATACAGCAACCTTCTCACATGTTTTAATTTGCAATAAGAGCTTTCATCTCTGACAATAAGCATGAGGTCCTACATCTATAATAACACTATGGAAAAAATTATATTATCAGTTCTCATTTCAAACACTGAATCCAACAATATTTAATAGGGTTTTTACATTTGGTGAGGAAGAGTGTAATTGAGCAATTTGACCAATTTTACGACAGCTAAGCCCGTAAATATGAAATGTAACCCATAAGATCTGCAAAACCAAGTTGGAGGAAGCCAGTTAATTTAAACATGCTTCATATCACCAGAGGCTCTTAGAATGACAGGAGGAAAAAAAAAAAACACAAGGAAAAGGAAAAGGAAAAGGAAAAGGAAAAGGAAAAGGAAAAGGAAAAGGAAAAGGAAAAGNAAAAGGAAAAGGAAAAGGAAAAGGAAAAGGAAAAGGAAAAGGAAAAGGAAAAGGAAAAGGAAAAGGAAAAGGAAAAGCTGTAGAAGGATGTCTCTCATACATCTTTGGCAGACATCTTTTTTACTTCTACTTGGAAACCTTAGTGATGGAATAGATACATCGTCTCTAGGTAATTTCTTCCTGTATTTCTCTGTCCTACATGCTGTAAAAAAAAGAGGAATCTGTCCTAAATCTCACTTGCTGTCATTTAATTTTCCCAAAACATCTTTTTTCCATAAGAAACCATGTGAGCAACTTGTTCTCCTGTGCTTCCTGCAGTATTTTCTGTGTTTCTCAGCTCTCCCTACACTCCTTTACTCACTAAAAGACCAAAAAAGGCTTCAGTAGTTCCACCTCCACCATACTTTATCTCCTTCACTTTGTTAGAAACAGGAGACACTGAGGGACCTCTTGAGATCATCTCATCTAAAGAAGGTTTTCCTTGTGCTTAGATTTCATTGATTGACATTATTCCCATTCCTTCTTGTCCTGTCAATGAATATGACTAAGATTCTGGCTGTGTCTCCTTTGCTTCCTCCCCATCAGATATTTATACACATGGGTAAGATCCTCCCTCACTGAGTCTTCCCTTCTCTAAGCTGAACAAGGTTTTTTTGTCTCTGCTCTTCTTAATATGCAATATTTCTTTAGGAAAAGTAAGAAAAAAGGAAGCTTTCAACCAGTTCCATGTTCAGTGTGGGAGTTTTTGGTGGCTTTTTGTACAACTTCTTCTCTTGGTAGGGGACAAATGATGACACCAGGGCAGGAACTCATGGAGAAACTTAAGGCAGCTGACTGAAGTCAAAGCTGACATCAGGAGACACAGAAAAACACACCAAGGTATCATGCCCTAAACAACCCAAGACTCTGTATTGGTACAACACTGTGCCAATATAAAGAGCAAATAGATCATGACCAGAAGCTTGGCCAAGCATCAGGTAATTCTCTGAGTTGGTAGCCAAGATCATGGCCAAGTCAGGCAGAACCAGACCAGGCAAGAGAAACCTGAGGATGGACATGGCCAGCAGGAAGGCCCTGGAGCCACAACTAGGAGATACAGAACAAAAGGGTGAGCCAAAATCTTGGCATTAGCCAAGACACCAGTATTGAGAAACAAGTCTGAGCATCCAAAACCAGAATTCTGCAGCACAGTTTTGGCCAGAAGATCCACTGAGAAACTATGAACAAGCAGTAGGACAGCCCCAGTTACATGAAGAGTGGGAAAAACCACCAGCCAGATTCTGGGGCCAGTCCTCAGACAACTGCAGAGCCATGTGAGGCCCTCAGTGATCAGGTCCTTGACTGAAGCCAAGCTCTGACTGCTGGGTTTGCTTGCTCACAGATGATGCCTCACCACAAGGAGGAAGAAAGTTCATAGTTGTAGGTTACAGATCAGAAGATGAGTAGGCACATTTCCCAGACAGCTAATCTGGCACTTGGTAAAAGTACTATTGCTTGTATAAAAGAATACAAATCCTTTAAGCAGATAATAAAGTGAATTACATATATTACTCAGTCGATGATTTTGTATCTAATTATGAGTTGTTGCTATCTGTTGCTAAACATTGCTGGAGGTTATCTGTGAGCCACGACAGATGTTTTTGTTTGGTTTATTATTCCAGTTATCGGTTTTGAGCAGCTTTACAAGATTTCATTTTCTGTGAGCAATGACCCCATATGCAGCATCTCAGAGTCCTGGCATACAAATGCTGAAATGAACCAAATATGCAAACACCTTCCATGGTGTTATAACCATTTGGGTTCATTCCCAAACCACAGGAGTGTGAAAGTTACAATACATAAGGCTGAAAATGTGAAAATCCTCCTTGAATTCCATGTTTCAGAATAATTCAACAGGAATTTTATTCACTTCAATCTACAAATTAGGGATGTTTTACTTCTAATTGTCCTGGGTGATAAAATATTCTGCTTATTTTAAGGGCACCAGCAAAAACAAATAAATGGGTGCAATGTGAGCAGATGGAAAGCCGTCATAGCTGGTTTGTCTGGCTTCACTCCCTCAGTCTTTCTGAGAAAACAACAGAAACAGCAACAACAAAAAAGTTCTTCAATCCTTACTTTTAAAAAGGAATTCAAATGGACAAATCTCTGTAATCTGTGCTTTCTCCAATGGTTAATTAAATTCATCCTTAAAAGCATGCCCTTCTTCCCTGCTGGTTTTTGATGCCAAGTAGCCACTGCCTTTCAGCCTACCATGACCCTTTACCAAAATTTGATTTTCCAGACGTTCCTACAGAGAATGATCCCTTCAGTTGTTGGCCGCTTCTTAACTCTACCTGTCTACACTGCAGTTCTTGGATTTCTCACCATCAGACTTGCTTCTCAGGTCTTCAAACTGTCATTCACTCCATTTCTACTGACTGAATTATTGAAAATAAGGCTGGACACAGCAGCAGTGGAGACTGAGATGTGTGATATGAAGATTATCAGCTCATACTTGACAGTTCCTGTTTATTCCAAGAATTCCTCAATTTTTCATAGTATCACCCAGAACCCAGAGATTACAGTGAGACAAATGAAATAGGTTTCTTACCATCCAAGTGAAATAAGTTTATAGTTTATTTCCATCCACACTCAGACCAGGTATATATGTACCAAGCCTAAGACATCTTTAGCTGGCTGTGTTGAATCAGATCACTGATCATGACTCTGTTTGCCCTTAGACTTGCTGTCATTTATGGATTCTATAGAAAACAGTTTTCCTCTCAGTATATATATTTTTTTAAATTGTATTAACATGGAGAAAGAGGGGGAGGGAAAAAGAGCACGTCAGTCCTGTTGGTTCCAGGATGAAAAAAATACATTGCAAAATCAAGGAAATGTAATTCATAGGACAATCTCAAAAATGCAGTGAGCTGAGAAAAATAGCTAAAAACAGAATAAAAAAATAACAGGCCTTGTCCATAAGAAAGAAAAGAAGTATTATTGATTTTTTTAAGCTGAAGTTCAAACCAGCACTGAGAAATTTACTGCAAAAATGTTAATGACGACAATTCAATCCATGGCTCATAGTTACACACTGAAATTATGCACTCACTCTTTTCAAGGCTAATGCTAGCAGAGCTCAAGTGACAACTCAAAGAAACATTTGTGATAAACTGTGACGCAACTAAAAGACGCTGAGGACTGACTCCACATTGACACAGGATTAAAAACTGCTCATTCTTCTACAAGGCCAGAATCCACATTTGCTGCCTGGTCACAGCATCTACCAGCAAGTGGTCTCTTGTGTTTAGCACATTTCTGTCTCAATGGGAGTGAGATATTCAATATTCCCTTTAGAAGCTATTTAGGTAGCCCTAAGTTCTTCTGTAAATGTCTTGATACTGCTCCTCAAATCATTGAGCTACACCAAGCACAACTCATATTCTGCCAGGATGGAGTCTGCAGTGACTGCTGAGACTCCTGACCACGTTGTGCATATTCTGTGCCAGCTGAACTCAAACAGCTGCTCAAAGCAGAAATATACCTGTAGGTACCAGATAACTACTACAAAGTTAACCTAGAGGAACCAAATAATGTAAGGCAGAAGTTCAGATGGAAATAAAGTGAAAACCCAAAGTACTCACTCAGTTTTCTGAACAACAGGAAAGCTTCCAAGCCGTACATAAGCACTCTGAACCCCATCTTCTTTCATTCCAAAAATCTGCTTCACGCTGAACGAATCCATCAGGTCAAATCCTATGTGTTGGAGAAATATAAATAAAAGACATTAATCAATCCTATGTGTTACAGAAATATAAATAAAAGACATTAATCAGGTAGTGGGACATGCCTCCAGTTGTACTTACATGGATCTCTTAGCCTACAAACAGCACTTCAGAAATGAGCCTTGTTCTTGTTGGAAAAAGCCAAACAGAATTCTGATATGATCTAGTCCTGTCAGCCCAAAAACTCAAAACCAAGCTTAAATTCAAGCTGTCACAAGCTTGAACAGAGATTTCCAGAAATCAGTAGCTAATTTTTGCACTGCCACAACATCCTGAAGATGCTGCATAATTCATTAACTCCCATGCAGAAAAATGCAGAGGTGCAGACTGAAGCATTTATTCACAGAATAAGAGAAAACACAGAATGTTTTGGGTGGGAAAGGGACCCTCAGAGATCATCTTGTTCCAACCCCTCTGCCATGGGCAGATGTGGGAGTTTTTCCTGGAGGGGATGGGCGGAGACCTGACCACACAGCAGACAGATAGTGTTCGATGTCCCAGTACCAACACCAAGTCTTGTGAGAAATCACAATGGATAACAACATGAAAAGCAAAGGATTCTGGGACTGACAGGGAGTGGCCATGCAGATCAACCGCCAGTGATTGGCCAGAAAGCTTCCAGAACCTTCTATGAGAGACTCTGTATATCTGTGTCGACCCCACTTCGGGTCGTCTGAAACAGAATGTTTCAGAACATTCTGAAATCTTATGTTTTGTTTTGCACTCTCGTTTGTGCCCCTTTTATTTATTTATTTAATACATATCTTCATTTTTGGCACTTCAGTGGCACCTGTCTCTCCTCTGTTGCTGCACCACTCGGCTGCACCACCAAGACCGGAGCATTTCCCCACACACCCCATGGATCCCCAGCGTGTTGTTCTGACCCATCCCTGGCTGCTCCACTGCTGGCCAGCTCAGAGATCACCAACAGGCAGTTGATCAACCTGATCCTTCCCCTAGATCAGGTTTCTTAAGGTTCCATCCAGCCTGGTTTTGAAAACTTCCAGCAATGGGGCATCCACAGCTTCTCTGGGCAACCTGGCCTAGTGTCTCCCCACCCTCACTGTAAAAATGTAATGGTCCCTATCCAAGCTAAATCTACCCTCTTTTAGTTTAAACTGTTGCCTCTTGTTCCATCACTATGGACCTTGATAAAAGGTCTCTTTCTTTCTTGCAAGACCCTTTCATATATTGAAAGGCCATGAGAAAGTCCCCCTGGAGCCTTCGCTTCTCCAGGCTGAACATCCCCAACTTTCTCCAAATTTCTTCACAGCAGAGATGTTCCAGCTCTCTCATCTTTTTTATGGACCTCCACTGTGTATGTACTCCAATGGTCCAGACCTTTACTGAAAACTCCTTGTCCAAGAAACTTAACCACACACATTTTTCATATAATTTTAATACAACTTAGTCCAATCAAGTTATCATTATCATGAGCTATTAATCTTGGTGGAAGACAGTTGCCTAAAGCTTCTGACTTTGTTCTAACAAGACATTTTTGGCTCAATCTTAAACTAATGATTTAGTTCAATCTTAAGCTTAAAGCTTAACCCAAAAGTGAGTTCAAGCAGCTCCAGCATCAACATGGCCCAGCCATAAGGAACACGATTTTGTGACATGAAGTCCCAGGTGCTAAACCCTGTGAGAGTGGGGGTACAATAGTGCCACAAATGGTTCCAGTTCCTGGAGATGCAGAACTGTGTAGATGCAGACATCCTGATTTTAGCTCCAAACTGGCTCCACAGGGTGCAAATCCAATCATCCACTCCCAGAACCAAACACACTGTGGAGTTAGAGGCAAAGGTGCTGTAAAAGGCAGGTTGTGAGCAACTGAGCAGAGAATAAGTGTTTTAATTTTATTCAGACGATTCCAACATTATCTCCCCCTCACACATGCACAATTACACACATTAACTCTTGGTTTTGTAATTCCAGCACACAAACCTGGTGACATAAGTGTAGCTTATTTGGATAAATTACTTTTAAACTATGCCAGTTCTTTCAACTTTGTTCAGTTAGCGAGCTCTTGAAGCTTTTTTAGGATAGATAAACATTTTTATGTGATGAAATTAGGCCTGAAGGTTATTGGGTTTCTTAGTTGTCCTTCTCAACCTTTCAGGCTGAAAGGCACTGCAGAGCTTGGAAACAGCTTCAACAGGAAAAGGCACCAAACTAATGATATTATTCTTCCTAATGATATTCTTCCTAAGAATACCTTACTATTCTTATTATTCACATTTATATGAATAAATAGGTACAAAAACCGGTGTGGTCCAATACCAAGGCAAATCAAACTAGCAAAAAGCAAATAAAATGTAAAGCTTCCATCATTTTCTGGACCTTTTTTCTGAAGAAATTGCTTCTTCTGAGGACATATAATCTTAATTGTTTGCAAAGACAGAAATGGCTGTCTGGTGCCAAGTTGAGCCCTTTAGTATTACAGTAACTTTCCTGGCTGTCAAGAGCTTTTCCTATTTGTCCACTCTATTTTCAGCTATTACTGGGCATTTGGGAGGGCAAACAAAGCAGTTAAAGTGCTCCAGGGCCTCGTGGCTGCAGCTCATAATCACCTCTGCAGCAACTCCAGTGATACACTGCTCTGACACACTGCAATCAGCCACGATTGCAGCTGTAAATCAGGGAAAACAGACCCCACCAGAGCATGACAGCTCCCTCCTGGCTGTCACAAACAGCACCATGACTTGTCCATGCACTCATTCCCCCACTCAGTGCATATCCCATATCCCTCATCCACAGTGCCACAGGAGCTGAGGGAAGTAATTGAGAGCTGCTGGCAGGGAGAGACCACTCTGACTGGGCAAGGGAATTGTCAACCACTCACAGGAGAGGAGCTTTGGATGGAGGAGGCTGAAATGCTGCCCAGGTGACATCCTAATGTCCACTCACCAGAGGCCCCAGGCTGTGAAATCCTGCTCATTTCACAAGTCTTGTAAAGCTCCCTTGCCAAAAATGCCCAAGTGCAATATACAGTGACAAGCAGCTCCTGCCAAGTGTTCCCATCATTTGCTCAGACCCAAAGCTGCTCTTGTTATCTCTGACAACTCAAATAAATGTTCACATCATGAGCAGTTCTGAAGCTGTGCACACTGGTATGCTTTTCCAGTGGAAATAAGCATCAGATTCACTCACCCTCTTTTTTTTTTCCCTGAATTTCCTATCAAAATGCACTTTTAAAAGCCTAAACAACACCATTAAACATAAATACAGCTATCAAAACTATTTTTTTGATACATAATTTGGTGTAATGAAAATAAGTCATGCTCTTACAATATAATCCCATTTACATTTAGGATTGGATAAAGCACAAAAGTAAATCATAATAGGATTTTTTTTTCTTTTATATAGACTATGGATTTACAAATTAAAAATTGCTTTCTCTGTTTTTAATTAATTGATGAACGAGGATAGCTCTTTGAAAAATTAAATGCAGATCCAGGGGAAAGTTAAGTCCATAGGTGTGTCAGAGGCCACACTCAGAAGCAAAGGGTTTTTTACTTTAATCCCACTATTAATTTATTCTGTGCCAAATATAAATATTGGCCAGCTGGTGAGATAACCTCCACTCTTGGATACTCTATTTACAACCTTAAAGTTAAGAGACACTTTGGTTGCTGAAAGATTTCAGTAGAATTACAGAAAATTTGTCATCAGGCCATACACTAAAAAATTAAGAACTCTGCCAAGAATGAGATGTATCTCACCTAATTTTAGCTGTCTGAAAAGGAGACATATGATGGATGCAGGCTTCCTCAGTTTCCTTGTGAGTCAGCAGAGAAATTTAGGAGTCATTAAGATAACTCATCTTGAAGACAGGGTGAACCCCCAACTGAAGTGCCTCCATTTTTCAGCAAAAAGGGAGCCCAGACAGGAATTTTTAATAAAGTTGTCTCACATGTATTCTGCTTACAGGGAATGCTATCCACTTTGTGCAGGGAGTAAAGCAGAGGTAAAGAGGACAAAAACTTTAACAAATCCCACATTACTTACATTCACATTGCTTTATTTGCCATCAGAATTGCATAAAAGTTGCAGATTTTTAAATTCAGCTTGATTAACCGGCTATGATTTTCAAAATCACTTCTGAAGAGCAAAGGAAGAAGCAAACCTAAAATATTTTTATTTGAGCTGAGAAAGTACTCAAGGCAGATTACCCAAGTGGAACACACAAAGAAACACACACACACACCTTGGCAAACCTTCAAATTACTTTGTGAATTAAGGGAACGTCTAAGATTGTTTCAGCTGAAGGACAAGCAAATGTATTATTATCATCACTATTACAGCTACTAGTAGTATTACTACTGTTAGTACTAATATTACTCCTATTATTATTGTCATTTTGTTTAGTTTGTGTGCCTGGAAGCCCTTTGCATGGATTATATTCCCTTGACTTTAGGAAAGGAACTGGGATTGTGAGGGAGACAACATGAAAGTTTTAATTTTTATTTTTTTAGTTTTGAATTACAATATTAATTTTAAAAATAAGCAATGCTGTGATCACTTCTGCAACACCTGACCAGGACATTTCACCTTGCATTGTTTGTTCACTAACAGTGCAGTAAAAACTGCTCAGTGAGATCTTTCCCCAAAGAGTTAAATGTGTCACACAGCATTTCTGTGCTGGAGTTACAGCAGAAATAGTCTGTTCTTTGGTTTTCCCACCACCAAGGAGGCACCACATTGTCAGTAGCATATGGAAAATGAAATGCCACATGTAACTTCCCAGTTCTCTCTGCAAGTGAATGGGAAAGAACAGAGCTGCCTAAATTAGCAAGTGCAAAGATGCTGTTACCTCTTGCACCATGCCCAAGCACAGGGTGAAAGGATAGGATTTTCCTGTTCTCAGCTGCTTTGATTTAAAAGCTGGCTTTTTGTTTAGCAGGGCAGGTGTAGTTTCCCAAATGGCTCATAAATTGCTTAATCAGTAATGCCATAAACATGGCATTTAAT